GCATGCCGTTTACATTCACGTGTAAAAAGGGGCTCGCCCCCCGGATTTCCGACCGCTGGGTGCCAGCCCTGTGAATCACCACGGCGGATCAGGCTCCCCCTCGGTTTTCAACGCGCCCCTCAGAGCCCTTCCAGAGCCTCGAAGGATATGTCTGGCCTATATCTGAAAGAAGCGGCTCAGGTTTTCCCCTGCCTTACAGTTAACGTAGTCGTTTACGTGACGGCAAGTGAAGTGGAAGATAATGTTTACACAGTGTAGCCGCTTCGCACAGGCGGACCTGGAGGGCTGCAGCGTAAGTCGATGCAAAATCAGGCTCCCTCGCCTGACATCAGTTCGCTTGTTAACGCGAGTTACCGGTAGCAACTAGGGGAAGACACAGCTGAATGAAATCCTAGGCTTTGTCCAGTGATCTAATTGCCAGGCCCTTTCAATCTGGAGGAAATGACAGGTGGGTGAGGGGGGGAAAAAAGGGTGTATCAGCACTGGAAAGATACACTAATATATAACATAATAGTTGAAGCTCTTCGCCATCAGCCATCAGTAATTCCAGCTTTCTTTCCTCCTTAAAAGTCACCTGGTGTTAGATTAGTGCCAGTGCTAGAGAATAAATTGGGGAAGGGCTCACTGGAAAATAAGGCCTGTTTCCTTCGTCTGGAGAGGGGAGGGCAGCAGAGTGGAACTGATGGCAGAAAAAGCAAGGTCTGGATGTTTTATTACAGCAAGTGCAGTGCTGTTCTTGAGCGCACCAGCAGTGTTCAGTGAAATTCCACAGATGGCTGGACTCAGACGAGGATCAAGATAAAGAGCGCTTGCTTCCTCCGTGGTGGGATTTTGGTTTCTGACCTTTGTGTGTGTTACTTTTTTAGGCTTCATGAGAGTGCAGAAGAAGAGCCAGACATCCTGCTGGAGTGTGACAGCAGCGTGCTGGACTCCGTAGAAAAACATCTGAAACTGTACAAGATCCGGAGGAAAGTAAACATTGCCCCCTGCCTTGACCTCTCTTTGTGGGCCGTTATCCCCAGGGAGCAGCCTGGAGACATTGCCAGTTCCCTCAGTAAATGCGCAGGCCAGACTGTGGTTTTAACTCCTGACCCCAGAACAGAAGTCATGGGCTGGAGACTGATTACCAAAAAAGAAGCAAATCTACTAGATATTATCCCTGGAAGTCATATTGGAAACATTCAGGACTACCACAGGCACAGGTATAAACAAGGTAAAACCAAGTCTTCTTTTACACTCTGTTTTATTGGGTTTTGGAAAATAAATTATTAGGAAGAATCCATACTCTAAGACGGCGGAAGAAACGAAAGCTGCAGTGATATGTGTGAATGTTTAACATGTTTGTGTGTGCAGTAATTATTTACTATTTTGAGGATAAAATTTTTCCCATAGTTACAATTCTGTTTTGTGGCAAAATCGATATTTGAGTACAGTTTCCCATTACAAAGGTTATGGGAGTGTGGGTCAAGAACACTAATAGGAAAAAAAAAAAAATGAGGATTACTCATTTTCGTAAGAGTAAAACTTCTGTGGTTTGTGTCATTCTGATTATTTTTGGGTTATGCAGAGTTTGTGTGTTTTCTCTGTTGCTCAGGAAAGAAAAGGAAATGCCCTTAAGTCACTTTGCTAAAAATGTGTTATTAGATTCATGCAGTTAATTCAGAAGCCAAAGGGTTGTTTGATCTGAGAGGGAACCTGACAGTGAGAGCCCCTGTGCAGGGCTCCCATTGCTCTTACTACATCTACATAGATAGTGAATTAAATTAATTAATAGGCTGAAAGATGATGGTCCCCTGCACCTAAATAGTGATCATACTGTCAGTCTATCTGGTACAGAAAAGCAGTGGAAAGTTTGAGCAACTGTTAATGGGTCAAACTGGACTCGACTGTGGTGGTATGCCACCTTTCTGATATACTAGCATTACTTTTCTGTGCCGCTGCAGAAAGCTGGGTCCAACAGTCTGCCTCAGAAAACTAATGCTGTTGTGTTATTGGTCAAAAAAAGTGAGTGATTTCACTTACTTACACAGATATTTATCTAGGATCCAAGGCTATGGATGGGGGGTGATACCCTGAACACGGCAGCGCTGACATTGGCAGCAAGGAAGCAGCTGAATATGTGTTCCTCATACTGGCAAAAAACCCCAACCAAACAAAAAACTCATACTGTTTTGAATCTATAAGCACAGGAAGAGGGAGTAGGAATAAGAGCATATCTTTTATCTTAGCATTTCATACTGTATATGGATAGAATATTGTTCAGAGTTTCCATCTGTGCTTTAAAAATGATGTGAATGAAGGAGGACGTGAAAAAGATGCCCTAGTGATTTGAGGAACTGACAACATCCTTATAGCTGGCAAGGTAAGAACCTTGATAAGGATTTTATGAAAAAGATGGGAACTTGGTGGCCGCCTGTATAGGAAGAAAATGCCAGGTATTGGAGGACTTTTTAAACTGTAAGGGAAGGGGAACAAGAAGCAGCGATTGGAAGGCATTGACAGACAAAACTGGGTTCGTATCTTACAATTTGCTCTCAGCTGTGAAAGGAGGTTTTAGGACAAACTATCGTGGAGAAAAATGGGCCTCCATCAGCTTATACCTTGTAGTGGAAAATAGATGCGTTTCTGTAAGCGGTGCTTCAGCCAAACAGGTTGTACCCTGCCCAAACGTTAGAAGTGTAATGACCTTGACAGACTGGCAGTCAGACTGGCTGATCTAATGGTCCTGTTTCGTCTCTAACCATTAGGAACCCATGAATAGAGGTTGGCCTCTGAAAAAATTCAGGTTTTGAATTTAACGATTTAATTCTCCAAGCTACCTCTTAATTTTAGGTTTAATGAATAAAGCAGAGGACTTTGGGGCTGCTCTTCTGAGGTTCAAAGAGCCTGAAGCTTTGAGAAATTGACGCTTGCTAATTGTGAACGATAATGAAAAATAGTATTTAAAACACTGTTTTATCAAAGTATTTTCTGGCTCTGAATTACAAGGAGCATCATTTTCAGTAGATCCACCACATGATCCCTTCTACAGGAATACTTGCTAACAAAAAGTAGTGACCGTTTCGTAAAGCTGTTGTCTGTAGTTTTGTTTTTAAACCTTTCCTATCCTCTTTCCAATATACTCTGAAATCTAGGATAGAAAATTTAATTTAGTGTGGTTTATTACTACAGAAGCAGTCACAGAAGCATTTGTAGTTGGCCAACTTATCTTCATTAGACAGCTTTGAACAAAATAACTCTTACTGCCATTAAAGTCTACTTAGGGGATGCGGTGAGAAGAATATTGCCATTGGTATTAAATGTACGTTGATGACATTATATCTGAGTCCGCATAGTTCTGGGTGCTTTGAATTTCCACTGGTACGCTTCTGAAGTGCTTTAAGCTTCATGACATTAGGTTCTAGTGCCGTTTTCTGTTTAACTTTAAAAATAATCTTTGCTAACCCTGATCATTTATGGCTAGTGATTTCATTTAGGCCCAAACTGGAGTAGGAGAAAGCCCATTATTTCACATTGCTCCTTCTCACTTACAGGTTGTGTTGTTTTTATAACACACAGAGGAGGCATACTCCTGAAATCTAGAATACTGAATATCTTACCGTATTTACCTCTTGCTTTTACTGTTTTCCTAGGAATTCCTGAAGGTGTGAAAGATCTCCCTCCTGGAGTAGCTCTCCCGCTGGAATCAAACCTGGCCTACATGAATGGTATCAGCTTTACCAAAGGTTGTTATATTGGACAGGAGTTAACAGCCAGAACCCATCACATGGGTGTCATTCGCAAACGTCTGCTGCCGGTTCAGTTTTCGGCCCCTCTTCCCCTGGAAAGTATTCCTGAGGGTGCCGAGATCTTAACTGAATCAGGAAAGTCAGCTGGCAAGTTCCGGGCTGGAGGAGATGAACTCGGTATAGCTTTGCTGAGGCTAGCTAATATAAATGAACCGCTTTGCCTCAAAATACCAGGTGATAAAGTGAAGCTCACTGCAACTATACCCGAGTGGTGGCCAAAAACTACTGGTAAATAAATGAGGAACCACTTCCTGCACAGTTGCCTTACTGAGAATATAGTTTGTCTGACAAGCTTTTTGAAGGTAACTCTGCCTTCAGCTTCTGTTTGCAGTGTTTGGTTGGCGAGTGTATGAGCAGCATCCTTCAGTTCAGGACTACACAGCAGGAAGCCAAACCAGCAGCGAGTCACTGAGAATAATCAATATTAACACTTTGTGGAGAGATCCTTGAAGGATAGGGTACACAGGAAGGTGTATAACATTCAGTTTCTCTGCCTGTTCCATTAAGAAGCGTAGGGGTAAGTGGGACTGGGCTTTTCTAGGCAAGGAAACATGGAGGATCCTTGATTTGACCGTAGCACCCTCGTGGCCCAACCACTTTCTCTAATTTGCACAAAATTACTTCTGAAGGAGGGCAGAGAGAGGCTGGTTACTGCTGGCTATACCTGACATAGGGAAAATCAGAGTAACTCTTGGTACTGGTTCCCCTTGCATGCAGCAAGATTGCCTAAGTTATTGCACTCAATATTTATGTAGGTGGTGCCACGTGCTGTTGGATTGGACTCCTGATGAATTTTGAGTCCACCATCCGCTAGATCAAATTGTAGTCTGCATATGGTGCTGTGTGTATTGAGACACTGAAGGAAGTGATAGGAGTTTCATCATTGTATGTACTGAATGTTTCTGTTCAGAATAACCATTCTGTGGTATTACAAATTATTTAATTGAGAGCATGCTTGCTACACTTCTGTTTGCATAAGATATGTCTTTGTTATACTCAGGCTGAAGTGTTCACTGCAAAATATTCCTTGCATTGAGCTTCTTATTAAATTTGCTGATTGGATGGATATTTTTTCCCATCACTACTACTGCTCGCTGTGTTCAGGGAGAGGAACGTCTTGTACTTCGCATATCAAATCTCGCTTTCAATACCTCACCATACTGAGCAATGTGGGAAAGCCCTCGAAGATCCGTGCCCATTTCCCCGCTGCAGGGCCAGCAGAGGGAGCACAGCCAGCAGCAGTCTGCCTAAGAGCTGCACTGCAGTTCCTGATCTTGGTCTTGCGCACATTGTTCCCCCAAACAACTCCTTCAGTGAGGAATGTTATATTTTACAGAAGTGCATTGGTGCATGCCCTGCAGTGACTCTGTTATACTGGTGTACTGCTGCCTGGTAGGAGTAAGCTATTGCTAGAAACAGTTTCCCCCCAGTGTAACTAATTCAGTTGCCAACAACAGTTGAGGGGTTTTGTTGGCATTCTCCTAATTTGGATATGTGCAAGGTTACCTAGGAGGAAAGTTTGCTTGCACAGGGGATTGCACTGTTTTATTTATGCCAGCACAGTTGATAATGAAGGAGGTTCTGAAATAAAAGTACTGTGATTAAGGACACGAAATAGGATCACGTGTTCTGTTGAATCTTAAGAAAAGTCCTCCAAACTTTCCTGAAGCCTTCAGCAGGTAAGTGGCATCACTTTTTCCATGTAACCACTACAAAGCTCGTGAAGGGACAGCATGTCCCCACCTCAATGTGACATGCTTGCTCCTTCCTTCAGTGTAAGCTGCAGTCTCTGGAGAAGTGGCTAATGCCACGTGTGTGCTGCTACTGAAGGGCACAACGCTGCCTTGCGTGAAAAGCAAATTGGAGAATACCAAGCAGAGCTTGTCCAAGCCCCTGTGGGTCTTGTGCACCCTTTTCACAGCCATGTCAGCCTCTTGCTCTTCTTTGCTTAACCTGGTGTGCCTGACTGAGGGAACGCGCTTTCTCCATGCTCACTTTCCTGGCTGCTTCACTGCACTCTTGTTCTCCTAGGAGCTCTCTGTGGCGCCCATACAAAAAGCTTCTCATTGCCCAGTCGCTGCTACTGTCTCTTGCTGAGGTTTTCTCCATCCGTCGTCCCCTGTGGGTATTCAGGACAGCCCAGTACTTCAAGATTTCTTTGGCTGTTGATTTTTTCTGGCTCCTGCTGCTGTTCTGTCTCTGCACTTGTTCCTACTTCTACAATCAATTTATTCCTCTCTTTCCTGTCCAAAGCCAGCCAGCCCTGTGCCTCCTCACCCTGTCAACCTGCACTAATTTATATGTATTTTTATATGATAATAAATCCATTATGTGTCCAGTGTTGAAATGGTATGTGTGAGGAAGCGGGTGATGAGAGAGATGAATAGGTGAGATCCCATTCTGGCAAAAGTTATTGTATACATGTCTATAATGAAAACCGTCCAAAGCACATTCGGTAAGTGTACTGCTGTAGCCATTACTGTGAAGGAATTTGTGAAAGGTGCTCGTATTGGTCAAAACTCCTTATGCTTGCTGTAAAATGATTCTATGGAATATCTCATTAAAAGTTGATTGTATCAGTAATTTTAAATGTACATGTCTGAAAGAAAAGAGACACAAGCTTTTATTTACTTAATGTGAAGCTATATAATGGAATAGTGGTGGGTTTTTTTGGTTGTTTGCTGACAATAAACATGTCCCCAAAGAGTTTTAGCGCAGGAAATTTCTTTTGACTATGTGTTATTTCTTTGTCAGCTTTTTAGATTGCTAACAAAGTCTTTCCGCTGGAAAAAGATATTAAACTGTAGCGTTTTGCACGTTCTGGATCCTCTGACTGTGACAAAGGCGAGACTGTGCTGCCTGTGTTCATGCTGGTCTGCCAGGAGGAGCTTTTCCTCCCAGCCACCCATTGTGCAAACTCCTCTCAGAATAGTTATATTGTGCTACTGCATATGCAGCATGAATAAACACTACGTTTCTTCTGTTTGGGGAAGCCCTCCATATCTTTTCTGCTGCACACCCATTTCTTTTGCCTTCTCAAGTATTTGGAAGGCGTTTATGTTAGCAACAGCTGTATTTCTCAGGGTGCAGGTTGCAAATTTGGATGTTTAGACCCAGAATACACATGCAGGTTGATTTTTTTCAGAGGTACTAGATGGCTTCTGGAGGTGAGAAGAGATGCAGCAGGTTTTGCCAGCCCCGATCCACACCACCTTCTTTTATTTTTATTCTCCCTTCCGGCCTGCTCCATCGTTAATGCATTCAGCTGGGTGAGCTTGGGCTGCAAGGTCAGGGTATCAGCAGCGCTGGTGTGAGGTTGCCGCTGCCGTGGTCTATGCCTTATGGACAGTCAGTAGTGGAGTAAATCACGCTCAGCTAAGGTAGACTGAATGAAGCGCAAGAGGAAATGTCTTGCGGACCGAAGGCGTGAGATGGTGTAATCTAATTAAACGCTAAGTGGAGCTAGGTAAAAAAAGACGGGAAATGACCACCGAACTTCTTTCTGTTAGTCATCGTCAGCTAAACGTTTGCAATGGCCTCAGAAGCGCTTTGGATAAGCAGTCTCCACGAGAACGTGGCAAACCTGTAGAGAAACAAATCACTGGAGCGCTCTTGCCTTGCACGGTCTTTCTTGTAGCACAGGCTATAAATATGAAGGATTGCCTCATTAAAGGCTCTATGTTCAATTGCCGATATCCTCATATCGATCTTGAACCGCTTGCTCTGAAACTCCCAGCCAGATGGAGACAGCTAGAAAGAGAGACATCTGCACCAGGGCCCTCGCCGTCCCAGAATCACAGAACGGTTGAGGTGGGAAGGGACCTCTGGAGATCATCTAGTCCAACCTCCCTGCTCCAGCAGGGTCCTCTAGAGCTTATTTCCCAGGATCGTGTCCAGGTGGGTTTTGAGTATCTCCAGGGAAGGAGACTCCACAAGCTCTCTGGACAACCTGTGCCAGCGCTCAGTCCCTTTGCAGCCGGGGGAGAGGAAGCGCAGGTGAGGTGACTATGAGACGATAAAGGAGCGCAGGGCAGCGCGGCTGCCGGCGTTCACCTCTCATGAAGACATGGACAGCTAGGCGAGGCGAATCCCCCACCAGGTGTCTGTCTCAGACTAAACATCACCGGCCCATCTCAGCCAAAACAGCGCAACGCTCGTTGGTTAAGCTGTAAACGCGTTGTAGTTTGGCAGCTCTTGAGCAGGTTTTCTCTGGGTCTCGGAGCCAGACAACCTGTCTGCTGTGCTGTGCGCAGACGGGATAGGAGATGGAGCTGTGCTGAGACGAGGAGCCGGAGGATAACGGAGGTGGCGACGGGGACCTGGGAGCCCGGACTCGGATGGAGGAAAAGGATCAGGCTGGGAGCGACAGGTACGGTCAGCCCTAACCCTCTCGATTTGCCACCAAAAATGAGTGTGCGCTTGTGGTCTTCATCCGGCGCTGCCTCAGTTTCCCTGTGCAAAAAGGGAATAGCAATCTTCCTCATTTCCCCAAGGGCACGATAAAAATAAATTGAATAATGTTGGTAAAGCGCATGAATGTTACCGTAGCGGGAGCTGTAGGATGACAGGTGAGCAAATTAATGTTTCTGCCTTGAGAGGGTTTGAAAGGCCTGCCGTAAATCAGGCTTGGGGCAGCACACTGAACGAGGAGAAAAATAATGATTCGGTGTTTCGTTCAACGCCGTGCTGAATGAGACACGGTCTTGTGGAGGAAACACCATGTGAGTACTTAATTAAACATCATATATAGTGGCTATGCACAACAGCAGGGGCATAACCTATTATTAGGGCCTCACGGAGAACTTTAATTCCAGTACAGCCTCCATTATGTTCTTTATAGTTACTGTATGTGTTACTGAAAATTAACAGTGCACCATCCTCCCCACTGTTTGCTTTAGGGAGCTTTAAAATTAGTGTCTCCCTTAAGGATCGGGTCCAGCACAGGCTCAGGAGCGTTATTCCTTGAACAAACACTCCAAGAGGAAGCTGCAGATGGGCCTGTTTGCCCGGCAAGGCCAGTTTGGCGGGCAGAAACGGTAACTTTTGCGAGAAGAAGCGGCGGCCTTGGGCGCTGCCCCCCCCCG